TTTCATTTGGTACTATGACGCTCATTGTGAATTTCGCTCGTTTAGGTTGTTTACAATAGTATATTTTTCACCGCTGAAAAGTTTTGTTTACAAATCGAGCAAACTAAATAGTGTGCTTATACAAATGTATGTAAATTTGCGCAAATTAAAATGAAATAAAGAAGAGAGCGAGTTTATAAAAACGGAGTTCTGGTTCAACGATTCGTCAGAGTATGAGAGCTTGGTAAACTGGCCAGGAGTGGAAAATGGAGAGTTTAAGTGTAGTCTTTCAAATACATTTTGACATAAAATATATTTAAGAAATTTGTCTACAGATTTATTAAAAACTTCCGAGTGTCTAAAGAGGCGATTGTGAGCCAAATTTATTTAAAATATTTTAAAACTATCAACAGCTTACGATTCTGTTCTCAGAGATCGTGCCAACTGAGTATTGGGATTTTCTTTCACAAGTAAAACCAGCCTTTCGAGCTTGTGTTTAATATTCACGACGTCAGAACTGCATGAGATTAATAAAAATTGTTTAAAATTAGTGTCTAGCCATCATAAAGTAAAAAACAAATGCAAAATCATACATTTTTCAAAGAAAAATTCTGTTCGACAGAAAATTCGATACTCAACGAAAATTTCGACACGGTTGCATAGCTCATAATTTCACTTTCGATGTTCGATCTTCGATAAGCAGCGAAGATCGAAAATCGAATGCAACTCATAATAAGGGCCTAAAAATCACTAGTATTTTTAATGTAATCTTGGCAAGAGTAGTGTTTTCTGCATACACTTCCATCCAGACCTCTCTTGGCTCCCTTCGTAGTATTTAATAATCAAAGTGCTGTCTTCACTGATGTCCAGAAGGTTTTCAAAAGCTTAATTGGTCATCTCAGTAGGTTTACTTTTCGGGCCACATGAAAACGGGTTTGTTATCCAGCTGAAGCCATCCTCAGAGTAAATGTGNAAATAGTGTGCTTATACAAATGTATGTAAATTTGCGCAAATTAAAATGAAATAAAGAAGAGAGCGAGTTTATAAAAACGGAGTTCTGGTTCAACGATTCGTCAGAGTATGAGAGCTTGGTAAACTGGCCAGGAGTGGAAAATGGAGAGTTTAAGTGTAGTCTTTCAAATACATTTTGACATAAAATATATTTAAGAAATTTGTCTACAGATTTATTAAAAACTTCCGAGTGTCTAAAGAGGCGATTGTGAGCCAAATTTATTTAAAATATTTTAAAACTATCAACAGCTTACGATTCTGTTCTCAGAGATCGTGCCAACTGAGTATTGGGATTTTCTTTCACAAGTAAAACCAGCCTTTCGAGCTTGTGTTTAATATTCACGACGTCAGAACTGCATGAGATTAATAAAAATTGTTTAAAATTAGTGTCTAGCCATCATAAAGTAAAAAACAAATGCAAAATCATACATTTTTCAAAGAAAAATTCTGTTCGACAGAAAATTCGATACTCAACGAAAATTTCGACACGGTTGCATAGCTCATAATTTCACTTTCGATGTTCGATCTTCGATAAGCAGCGAAGATCGAAAATCGAATGCAACTCATAATAAGGGCCTAAAAATCACTAGTATTTTTAATGTAATCTTGGCAAGAGTAGTGTTTTCTGCATACACTTCCATCCAGACCTCTCTTGGCTCCCTTCGTAGTATTTAATAATCAAAGTGCTGTCTTCACTGATGTCCAGAAGGTTTTCAAAAGCTTAATTGGTCATCTCAGTAGGTTTACTTTTCGGGCCACATGAAAACGGGTTTGTTATCCAGCTGAAGCCATCCTCAGAGTAAATGTGGGGAAAATATTCGACAATGGTTTTTTCTAAACCTTCCAAGTTAACGCTGGTAATGCGCGTTGACGCTAAGATAATAATTTTTACAGCCAATTTAACGAAAGCAATTTAAGTGATAAATGATTTTAATTTTTTGAATTTCATATCGATGGCTGAGTGGAAGATCGACCTATCTCGGCAGCCAGTTCGAAAACATTCTATCTCAAAAAACTTTTCGAGAACGCCCTATTTCAGAATTCGTTTCAAAAACGCCCTATCTCAGCTGTCGATTCAAAAACGCCGTATATCAGCATATTTTCAATACATTTTGAAGTGAGATAGGGCGTTTTTGAACCGAATTTTGAGATAGGGTGTTTTTCAATTAAATTCTGAAATAGGGCGTTCTTGAAAAGTTTTTTGAGATAGAGCGTTTTCGAACTGGCTGCCGAGATGGGTCGATCTTCCACTCAGCCATCGATATGGAAATTGCTGGTGAAACCGGCTGTTATCAATTTTCTTAGCGTTAACTTCGAGGTTACATACGTTTTTTTGATTACTTTGATTATTTATGGGGTTTTCATGCAAATCGCTAGAAATACTAAAATATACATGTACCAATAAAAAAAATCTCGACATGCTAGAAAAAACCAGAGATGTATTTTAATTTCGCAGGCCTCTGCTATCTTCGCAGCGTCATCCAATACGGGTTTTAAATCTAGTGGCGGCATCTTCCTAGTCGCCAGGGAATACCGACGGATCATACAGTACCTTCTCGTGACGTTTTCTGCCTCTGACTTTATCCTAGAAATCGCTCCTTTCGTTTTTCCAACCACTGCAAATATCCGCACACTTGCCCCATTTCAAACCATTTTTCTGTACAAATTTGTCGATAGCTTTAAAAGTTTCGTCGCTAGTGGTGTAAGCCTTAAGTATTTCGCTCATCAAAAGTTCTTCTTCGATTTGCATTGCGAATGAGTTCCTCACTAACACGAGAAGATTGCCTCTAAAATCGTGTTGATTCGCTCTTTGATAGTGTGATTGTGAAGTTCCAAAGAATAAGTAATATATACACGTGCACGAAGCTGCTGCGCTTGTTACGAGAACAGCCCAGCCAGCGAAAAATCCGAAATGTAATCCAAAAACGGGAAGAAAAGTGGATGAAACGTGGATTAGGTCTACAAAAGTACCGAAAGTGGTTGTGAAAAGGGTACGTTTTCGGCTATTTTTCTGATTAAATTTTACGTTGACAATACGTACTGGAGCGAAATATCCTTTTGCTGCAAGCTATTTGTGTTGTGTATGGGGTTTGACGAGCCGCTGAAGGTAATTTTAATAAAAATCTAAATTTTTTGATTTTATGGCCGCCATGTTGAAGTTTGATCAAACCGCTTTCGTTGTGTATTGAAAGTCTAATGAATTTATACGCACCACAAGTATACTCTAGCCACTAGTGGCACCCCAGGCATATGCTCGCGGCACCTCAGGGTGCCACCTCTCCCACTTTGAGAAGGCCTGTCGTAGGACATCGCAATGTTAAACATCCCAGTCGCTAACATTGAAAAAGGATAGAACGTGAACTAGTTAGGCTGAAACACAAACTGGTAGAATTCTAGTTCACAACTAGTAGCTTTCCCTACAGGGTAATTGCGTGTCGGCCATGCTGTTTATAGAACTTTTCTTTTTGTGGTCAACTCAAACCGACTACCGACAGTTGTGCTTATACAGACCAAAATTCATTTCACGGTGTCTTTTCTATGGAATCCTTAGGTTCCGCGGAGCCCCGTTTAAAAAGCTGTGCCCTAGAAAATGCTCTTACTATTTTGTACTTAAAAACTAAAAAATCTAAAAGATTCTCATAAAACCATATATATTAGAAATTTCCAAAGATATTCAAGGATAAAATTTTGAAATATTTAGCATAATTCTCCAATATTTTTTTATTGTTCAATAAATGACTAAGTCAAGGAGCAGGGTTGGTATTTGCACGGACAGTAGGAGAGTTCTAGCTTTAGTTTAATGGACTGTGTACACGGCGAAAAAGTCTCGCTAAATAACTCTCACATAGGCTTTGTGGGTGAGTTTCTCGTAGAGCTCTATTGAGTGTTTACACGTCTCTAGCGAGATTTTTGTCTAAATCTCGCGTTTTTTCTCTACCGTGTACACTTACCTTAAGCCTAAGCGGAAGTTTCTATCACATTTCTTTCTTTGGCAGAGCTTCTCAAATATTGCAAAAACGAGATTTTTTGACACTTTCGTTTTTCTCAAAATCTGGACCTGGTGGAAATTTTATACTTACGGATTAGTAATCAGCACAAAAAAGTATATCAAAAGAAAAAGCTTTAACATTTGCCGCACCACAATCGGTGTTGCCCTGTGTAATTAATGCAAACAATTTTTCATGAAATTATATTAGAACTAGGAGTACACTTTAATTTGTCGCCTAGGGTAAATTCAAGAAGCGAGCCATAAGCACAATGGTTTTTTCAACCAATTTATAGTTTGATTTTTTCATGGTCAATAAACCGATTGTAAGAGATGTGATTCAAGTTGAATATTTGAGAATAAATTCGTATGTATGGCCGTGGCTGAACGAGCAGAGGTGCGTGCTGTTATTTGTTGGATTCCAGCAGTACAAATGCCGCCGGCGCGATTCATAATTTTTAATCTGTTTTTGGTTTTTCTTAATTAAGAAAAAGCCTCTGTGAAGTGCAGAACCAAATCGAATGACGAAGAAAATTGATTCAAGTTGAACATTTGAAGGCACATTTATAAAGCGGCTGTAGCTGAGTGTGTAGAGATGCTTGCCAGAGGTAACATGTTAAAATGATAACAAAAATGTTTGCTTTGTTTCTCCGAATTATGAAAAAGCATCTGCGAAGTGCAGAACATAAACGTATTCAAACGATAAATCGGCAACCGAAAGTTTGGTTATAGTAAACAAAATTATGCTTGGTATTACTAAATCATTGTTGATATTGTTAATTGCCTGCAATGCAATTGTTGCATTGGTAATATTAACAAAAAATCACGTTGATTCCTTTTCAAGTTTAATTTTGGTAATATTAACCAATTTTTGGTTGATTTTTCTCTCAGTGTAAGTATCAATGGACACAATGTTTTATAGAAACCAATCAAATGTATAGTTGCTTTTTTAATACTTGTAGGTTACAAATACTTACGTTTATAATTATAATAATCATAAATATGTATTTTATTTTCTTTACAGACATCGAATTGCACGTGATACCACCATTGATGATCTTAAAGTTATTGGATTTCGTGTAGAGTCTAGCAACAATGAAATCGATTATCACGACGGAGGCGTGCCAAGTGTTCTTAAAGACGCCGATTTCACAATGCGAATTTTCGGCAAAGGTATTACACCAGATACGGTTATAACATTTACTACCATATCCAACACGTTCGGTGGAAAATGTCAAATACCGGCAACATTATTGTACAAACCTATAGAAGGTTCAGCGACCAACGAATCTGCAGTCTATCGGTTGTCACTTCCAAAACTAGACAAAGCCATGACCAATGGCAGCGAAATATTTTACTTGTGTGCTAAAAATGATCCGCAAATGGACATAGTAAGTCACCCAGTTCTTTTATTTTACATACTATTGTGCTCTGTATTTTCATGCTTTTTTGTGAAACAGTTTATGATTATATGTATGTATTTATAGTTCATTAAAAAGCCTATATTTTATTTGTAGGGAATCGCTACAGATACTAAACCAATGGTACATCAAGGCGGAGATATTTATCTCCAAATGCGAACATATGAAAATTTGCTGCCAATCTGGCTATCAATTGTCATCATCCTTGTTTGTTTGGGCTTCTCTTCACTATTTTCGGGTCTCAATTTGGGTCTGATGTCACTTGATCGTACTGAGTTGAAGGTGAGTATATATGCAAAGTCAATCAGTCAGTTTTGCAGATAAGACAGCAGACGGTATTGTACACAAAATATGAGCATTTAGTACGTCATATGTACTTATGTATGTATACAGAGTGAGTCATAAATATTAGAGAAAAATACCAAAAAGGTTAATTTTTCTTGTCTTAATTATTTAAGCTAGCTAAACCGCTATGATGCGTCGTTGATTTTATGAAGCTTTCATCTCATTAACCAATGCTTTGGACGTCGTGGTAATAACCCAGAATATAATTTAGGTAGGCCTTCTTAAGTGAAGCCATTCTAAGATGCCCATCCAAGAATGGCTGAACAAGTGCTTCCTTGCATGCCTTCTAGAAAGGCTTATTCATTTACAATTTACGCGAATGCATAAATTTATATTATTTAGCATTACAAATGAATTTCAAAAAACATTTTAAGTTGCAATAACTCATATTTGATTTAAACTTTAAGCAAATACTTCAAAGATGTATGATTTTTATAAATTAAGGAAGCAACTTTAAAACAACTCCTCCAAAAGGCCTTCTAAAGTACGTCCTATAAAAGCCCTTTTGGAACGCATTTTATGGGTAGCGAAAGAAGAAGCCCTTCAATTTGTGCCACTCCATACAAAAAAGAAAGGGAGAGCTTTTAACTCCCGAAATTATCTACTGGGAAGTGAGATAATCTGGAGAGATTTTAAAATAAGGTATACACCGCCACCTTGCAGATCTCCATGTTGTGATCTATACTCCCCGTAACGCTGAAGTTTCCTGAGAGTTGAAAAGAGCTTGAGGCAAAATTCTGCGGGTTTTCTTAAGACGGTTCGCTCTTAAAAAATAGATGGGATGGAGTCATTTTGGCCCATTAGCAGCAGTGATTTATATCGCTTAAGAATGCTTGTATAATTATACAGCTCCAACGCTGACGTCGGACATGTGCACATTGCTCCTTTGATGTTTAACTGGCCGTCTCCACAGGATTAAATTTATTGCTGTCCAGCTGTCATATTGATTGCTAGATATAAGTTACATCAGTGGCAATATATTTAAGTTAGTCAGGAGTTAAAAGCCCTTCCGAAAAGCCTTCCTAAGAGTCAAGAGGCGTTCCACTCTACATTCCTTTCTCCTTTATTTTTTGTATGGGGTGACACAAATGATGGGCTTCTACTTTCGCTACCCATAGAAGGCCTTCCAGAGGGACTTTTGTAGGACGTACTTCAGAAGTCATATTGGGGGATTTCTTTTGAAGTTGCTACTTTAATTCATAAAAATCATTTATTTTTAAAGCATTTGCTTAAAGAGTATATTGAAATTCATTTGTAATACTAAATAATAGTACCAGGTTGACCGAGCTTTGCCCGGAGTGCATATACTTTTTAAACTTTACAAGATTTGGATAGCTATAAAAAAATATTTTGGAAACCAAAAAAATAGGATTTCGATATCTATTAAATAAATTCCTTACTCTAAACTTTACGTGGCAACCCTATTCCGAAATACGCTGGAATGAATGGTTGATAGCCTGAGCGTATACGTACTGTGTATACATAAAAAAATATTGATTGAAATTAACAAAATAAAAATTTTTATTACATAGAAACGTGGCAACCCTGATGGAAAATATTTTCTGACCAAAGTTTTTAACAATATCGATATTGCGATGTTTTATAAATACGTTATATTATATATTATATGTTATGATGTGTTATAAATAGTGTAGAATCGAAAATAATTGGCAACCTTACACTATTATTTTAAGAGATAACATTTTGTTTATAGGGAAAGCATTGTTTAAGAACCTTCCCTACAAGAATTGTGTGATGGAAACTAACACATTCTCATTTATCTTACTAACACATTTGCAAATTTTGCGTTGGTTAAAAAGAGACCACTAAATAAGGCCACAAGTCGGAGGAAGACGGAAGATCACATGTACACAAATGTTTACATCACGTTTTGCATATTGCTCTTAAAAAGTGATAGTCAAATGACTATCACTGTTCTTGTAGGGTTCTCTTGGTACCCATAAATAGTAATATTTTACCTTTTTTTCTAAACAAAATTTTTTTATAAATATGCGATTCGAAATAGATGTCAACCCTATTAAAAATATTTTTGAATTAGGGATCTTTAAAATACCTTCCATTTGATACCCATATTATGATATTTAACTAATTTGTAACTTATTTCGAATAGGTGGCAACCTTATACGACTCTTCTTGGAGATAATGCCTATTCAGATAACCTTAAAATCCAAAACATTATCGGTGTACAAAATTTTACCAAAATCATTAGAGCCTTTTTCGAGTATTTTTGCAACGTAATTAGAATTTGTTTTTGCCGAACGAACATTTTGTTAACAGTTTTCGTCAGGCTTCGGCATTTGCAGTCTAATCTTAGCGTATGATATTTACATCGTAAATCGAATTGCTCGTTTAATGTAATAAGCAGGGAACGGATTTTGTGGAAATATACGATGTATGTAAATATCATACGTTATGATTCGACTGCAAATGCCGAAGCCTGACGAAAACTGTTAACAAAATGTTCATTCGGCAAAAACAAATTCTAATTACGTTGCAAAAATACTTGAAGGCTAAGCAGTGTACGGCGACTTTTCTTGGTTCAGTCTAATATACATATGTACATATGTAGATGCCACTGTTGGGCGTTAATCATTTAATTATACCCGAGCGTACTTGTGCACAAGGGTATTATAACTTTGTTCACATTCCGGTTATTTGTAACAGGCAAAACGAATCGAGATAGATATAGACAAATGCATACAAAAGTGATCAACATGAAAAAGGAAATCTTAATCGGTGACTGTCTGTCCGTCCGTCTGTCCGTCTGTGCACACGATAACTCGAGTAAAAATTGAGATATCTTAACGAAACTTGGTATATGTACTTCTTTTCAGCATAGGACGGATGGTATTGAAAATGGAAAAAATCAGACAATAACCACGCCTACCTCCCATATAAAGGTAGTTTTCAGAAATTTCGTATATCCGAATATTTTAGTAACTACTGAAGCTTATTCACTCAAAATTGATATTTACAATCATTTTTAGATGAAAATTTAATAATATTATAAACTTTTGGAAAATGGGCGTAGCATCGTGGGCAACCGCTCCACCAATTTCCCCATAAAAAATTATAAATAAATGTATTAATTCATAAAATCAGTTAATTTAACGGAATTAGCAAAACAAAAGAAAACAAATAATTGAAGTAATTGGCTTGTTATGCAACATTATATACACATGTACATATGTACAAACATACATATGTATGTATGTGTAAAAATATATGTACTACATATATCACATTTATGTACATACATCACATGAAACACTTTTTTATATAGCAAGAAATATTTAGGAGCCTACAAGTAATTTTTAAGCAAAAAACCAAACTGACTTCAATTCTCATAAAAATAAAAATAAAATATATACATAAATATTTCGTGATCCAATGATCGGATCTAAACCAGATTAGTTTGGGACCATGGTTGCCACAATTGGTAACTTTCTACCAAAATTGGTAACTTTTAAGCGGTTTGGTAACTTAGTAACTTTTATTTCATTTTGGTAACCTTTGCAACCAAACATCTATTTGCATTACTAGAAAAAAATTAATTATGTTTTGCATGTGTGTATTTATAAAAGCCCTCGATTTTCAATGGCAGCACTACTGACACTTCTACAAAATTACTTCGAAAAAGTTAGAGTTATCTTATATTCGAATACTGGAAATATTTGAATTACAGTGGCAGCACCACGGGCTACACTTCTAAAACAACTATCGAATTTTTGCGATAAATTTTGAATTCTACCATCTCACATTTAATACTGGAAATACTGTTTGCAACAATAGTACTGTAAAATTAGTATACAAAATTCGGGCATCTGGCAATTTTTGGTAAAGTCCATAAACAAACAAGTAAGAAAGTCTAAGTTCGGGCGGAGCCGAACATCAAATACCCGGCGCAAGTATTAAATATATGATTTTCACCCTTCCGAAAGCTACCGCTACATGGCAAGTATCAATTTGAGTAAATTTGCGTCCTTAAATTTCGAAATATTGAAGTTTCAAGCATTTCTGAAATTTACCATTATATGAAAAGCGGCCTCAATTTTAGTCCGATTTCAATAATTTTCAACATTTTGCTTTTATGTGGCAAGCACAATAACCGTACCGAGTTTGGTACAAATTGGTAGAACGGTTACCGAGATACATATATGTGATCATAAGTGGGCGGTGCCACGCCCATTTTCCAAAATTGTATCACAAACGTATTTCTTGATAAAGAGTTGTTTCAAGCATCAATTTTGAATAAATTAGCTTTAATATTTACTGATTTATCGAAGATTTCGTATTTCTCCAAATTACCGTTATATGGGATGGGGGCGTGGTTATTGTCCGATTTTAAACATTTTCGGTCATTTAGTATGCTGTAGGAAGGCTAACAATTGTGCCAAGTTTGGAAGAAATTGGTACAGGGGTTACTAAGATATACACATGTAACCATAAGTGGGCGTGGCTACGCCCATTTTCCAAAAATTTATAATCTTATTTTTCGCCTAAAAATTATTGCAAATATCAATTTTGAGTAAATAACCTTCAATAGTTACTAAAATATCGCAGTTCTCGTATTTCTAAAAATTACCATTATATGGGAGGTAGGCGTGGTTATTGTGCGATTTTGCCCATTTTCAATACCATCCGTCCTACGCCCGAAAGAAGTACACGTACAAAGTTTCGTCAAGATATCTCAATTTTTACTCGAGTTATCGTGTGCACAGACGGACGGACGGACAGACAGTCACCGCTTAATCGATTTCTCTTTTCATTCTGATCATTTATGTATACATTAGTCTATATCTATCTCGTTTCGTTTTGCCTGTTACAAACAACCGTTATGTGAACAAAGTTATAATACACTTGTGCACAAGTGCGCTCGGGTATAAAAAAAATGTCGCGTACTTTTTACCAGACCC